TCTGATCGATCCATCAGAAGAAAATTAATTTAAAAAAACCATATTGAAATTTAGAAGAATTATAACATATATATATTGCGTACAAATGCTCTTTCATTTTCTAATGATTAATTAATATTTCAAAGAAAAAGATTTCGAATCTCAATCGATTATATTTATAACATTGCGAATAATCAACAGTTCATTCTTATATATTTTTTATATATATTCTTATAAATAATATGTAACTTATTTTATAACAATATCGATTAATCATTAAAAGATTTAATCTTTTTATCGATTTGACTTCTTTTAAAACGATGCGAGAGCTGTCAATTATTCAGGTATGTGATGATATAAAAGGCTCGCAGAAAGTTTTCATCGTATGTGTTATTCGTGGAATAAAGCGCGACTTATGCGATGTGTATTTGAGGATTTGAATCCTTTATCTCCTGCCGTCTTATATACTACTGACAATAAGCACAAGTCTCGAATTGAAAGCCACGCTGACAATAAAATCTCCGTCATAAGATGAAATCGATATTATATCCCGTGGTGGCGACTGCTTCGTTGTTTTAGATCGGAGATAAAACAATGACAATCTCGAATCACAAAAATAAAATATATTATTACAATTAATTTTTACTTGTTGCGGGTCAATGTCTCGCATATCGTAAGAGGCTTTCTTCTGTTACACGTTAATTACGGGAGTGACAGAACGCGGGAGAGGTCGGAGATGAAACCGGGAAGAATTCCGATAAATCGAAGATCGATTATCGATCGACTTTCGCGCTCATTCTTTTTTCCGTTCGTGCGTTTTACGTCTGTTTGACGCATTTTAGTCTTACTATTGTCGGCGCGATAGTATTTTATGAAGCGCGACGCGTATCGCTTCCATTATATCAGGTCGTTGCATTTTATTGATCGTGCGCTCGTGTGTTTCCATGTGATGTCGTGCTCGCGAAGATACATACATGCAATCCGACAAACGAATAAACCATGGACATTCCCGTCGCGTTGAGATTTCCGTTAGTTAAAAATTCAGTTACTGGAACGATTTCGATGAGTTTCGATTCACGATGGTAGATATGTATGTATGTACCGGGTGCCTCGAAACTCCGGCGAGAAGTCGACATGCAGCATTGTTGTGAAAATTGGAGACTTGAAAGTGATTCAAGACAAACCCGTGATCTTGGTACCAAATAAATAAAAATATCGGATAAATAAAGATATTACATTATTAGATTTGCATTTTGATTTTGGTATCGATAAAATTTAGATATTTTAATATCGATTTTTGTTGCGATGTGTATATTTATTACAGTATGGTAGTGACCGTATTGCAGCAAGAAATATTTTCGGTATTTCTTTTTATCAAATTATTCGTCTCGCGTCGAAATTAATAAGAAGTTATCTTATTGTTATATGAAAAGTTATTTATCAAGTAAAATTTACGATTTTAGCTTATTGCTATTAGGATCGGCATTTTATGAGATATTCGAATTTTATAATACTGTTTTGATATCTCAAAATATAATTTGTTTTTACTAAATTGTCGGATAATTGCCTGCAGATTTTAATTGCAATTAAATTGAGAATCTAATTTAGCATTGCTATCTTTTCATAAAATTTCGTTAAAGTTAGGTTTGTTCTTAGTAACTAGGGAACGAGAGAGAGAGAAACTTGGATTGAGTTTTCTTAAATAGCTCATCAAGACCCGCAATTTGATTTCTGTTTCATCGTAATGTCGTCTTTCTACTCAGCTACATTTCTCTGTATGAGCCGCGGTAAACTAGGCTGACTAAACCGTAAAGCTATTTCACTATCGCGTCAAACGACGAGTATTCTACTAGTTAATTACGAGATACATAAAATTTTGCACGCGGGATTTTTTCTTTGTATTCCTAAATTTTCAAGATTTGTTCAATTCGTCAAGAATGTAATGCTTTTACGCTTTTTTTACATCGATTTTGAATCTTAATCCCAGGACGGGGAATCTTAAATCGCGTAACAAGCGGGATTAATACGAGATGCGCCGGTTCTAATAAATCTATTATTCGATTCACGTCGAGAAATAATCACGAGACACGACGAATGACGTTATCAGTAACGATTGGTCGAGAGAGGCTTTCGGCATATCAAACGCGGGCAATCTGCCAAGTCTGGATTGTATACTCGTCGTTGAAAGAGCGAAAACCTGAGTGTCGTCCTCTTCTTTGTACTCGGCATACACGTTCAATGAGGCGAGGATTGGTTAAACAACGCCGATATCGGCGATCTAATCCGGAGACTACTCGGTTACACGTAATCGATTATTTCAACGCGTTCGCGTGACAAGGACGAGTCGATTCCTCAGGATAGTATTTTCCTAAAACAACGATATCAAAATGTGAATTGTGTAACAATTCGCAATATGGAATCAACCGTTATTTTTTGGTTTAATTCTGAATAATGATAGAGTATCTACTTTCTGGAAAAATATGGAAAACCTGGAATATATATTCTTAGAGATTTCTTATCTGGAAAAATCAGGGAATTCTCGTGGAATTTTATTGGGATTCGGGGAATTTCTTTAAAAAATCCTTTCTTTGATAATTTTACTCTTATACTGTAAACATCGGCAAATCAAGTAAATTATGTGTTTAAAATATAAATATATATCGATGTTTGTTTATTTATATTTAATGTCTTAACAAAATATTGAATAAGCAATACGTATTCTTTATTGTAATTTTTAGTAATAAAAAAATGAAAATTTTATATGCAAATGAAAAATGTTTATCTTACGAAAATTATTCAGTTTTTTTTTCAGAACATTTACAGATCTAGCACTTGAAGAAGAAAGTACTTAAGAAGCTCTGTGTTTTCTTTCGTATGCGTGAAAAACATTAGAAAATGCATACAATAAAAAAAAACTTATTTTAGAAAATTGCACCGAAAGATCTTTAAAATATTTTAATCTGTAATTTTGAGCAAAAATACCTGAAAGATCAGAGAATTTTCAGGAAATTTTTTTACAAGGTTTGAGTAGATTCCCTGAATGAAAAATATATATCTCCAAGATATATTTTCAAGATTTAATACTTGGAGCAAATTTTTGCTCTTTCTCTCGCGCAGAGGATTATACAGGATTTACTCGCCATTTGACTCTGTTATTCCTTTCTGTTTTCAGGCGCAGCTGAATCGCGCGGTTAAATCGACGCAAGTGTGGCGGTGGTTAGGGTTGCGTACGGGTGGCTGCGGTCGCCCAGGTAGTTAGGGGACTACTCGGTGCCGGTTGCCGCCTTGGTAAGGTTGCCATCGGTGACGACGAAGACGAAGACGACGAAGACGAGGACGAGGAGGAGGACGGCGGTGGTGGTGGCGGAGGAGGAGGAGGAGGCGGTGGCGGAGGAGCCGGTGCCGGTGAAAGAGGCAGTGCCGGTGAAGATAGTTGTGTTAGTGGTGTCGGTGGCGAAAGTGTTTACGGTGATTGTGGTAGCGGTAGTGGTGTCGGCTGCTGTGGTGACGACGGCCGTGGGTGCGAAGTGCGACGAAGAGGACGGGATTAACGACAAGGCGACAAGTAGAAGGAGGAGGGGGAGTACTTGCTCCAGGAGATCGTCTCATCTTCTCCGGGACGACCGGGCCGCTATCCGGCCGCGCTGTTTAGCAGCAGCAAGTGATACAGGAAGTGCGTGAGGGTGGCATTTGTGAAGGCAACGTGTAGCAAGATGGCGCTCTGGCTCGCAGCAAGCAGATCGAGAAGAATCTCAAGGAGGATGGCATCCAAGCGGCCAAGGACATCAAACTCCTGCTGCTTGGTACGTCTGTGTCATTACCCTGTTTACTTTGACTCCCGAAATATGTATGCCGAGAGGATATACGCGCGATATGTGCTCGTTCAAGTTTTATGACAACGCTAATATTTGAAATTCTTATTTCCACGTTTATTAACCATTTTTTTACGGAGAAGAAATAAGATTCAATGTAAAGTTGGAAACCGGAATTATATAAAATCAGATGTCTTATTATTATGTCTGAATTTTGAATTCTCCTGTCCATTACAATTTTGATTCATGTTTCACGCAACTGAATTAGAATTCAATTGAAAGATTTTAGATTTTTCAATATTGTATCAAGTGTTTTTTTGTTTACCAAATTTTTATACATTATTGTTACATATTATTAAATTTATATTATTCGTTGTATATTCAATGTAAAAGTGTTGGTTGGTATACATTACCTATAATAATAGCTAAAATGGGCAGATGTGACACTCCAATTGCAAGTCATCGAGATAAAAAATATAACGTGTAAAAGTCTTTTACTGTAATGAGTAAAATGTCTCTTACCTGGAGAATAGTAAATTATAATATTTTTTTGTGGCAAATTTTTATTAAAATATTACTCGTTCTCTCTCTTGATTATCATGTTATTCGCTTAAAATCAACTATTATTATAAGTTAGAATTTTTGATAATTCCGATTCTCAATTTTATATAGAATCATTTCTTTTCTATATTGAATAAGAAAACGTGAAAAATAATAAAACGCAATAAAATAATGCAATATTCTTGATTGAAAAAAAAATTATATGGCCTTAAGAGTTTTCTCTGAAACGTGGGAAAGATAACTTTTATGTCAAGGCGTATAAATATTGCCCTGGAAATTATCTTCCGGAAATAGTTTGATACAACTTGACGACTGGTCGCGATTATATCGACAATGTCGCGACGTCGTATCTATACCGTTGCTTTTCTCGCGCGTTAGATATTTCATGAGCTATGGCGGATCTATGATCGGTGAGGAGTTGCGCACCACGTGTTTCTAGTCTTTATTGATCTATCTAATTTTCTAGATTGCAGGTCAATTATATCAAAGTTCTTTGTTGCACGCAAAGAGTTGATCGAATTTGCAATTTAATTTTTAATTATCTTCGATACAATAATGGAGCGAACATAGTGATAATGTTCCTCTGAAAAAGCTGTGATCGGAAACATTAATTCTTAAAATTTATTCGACATATTGTGTAATTAAATTAGAGATACACACATACGTTGATTCTTTAAACGCACGTGATGAAGTAATAAACGTCCAGTCTCATACCAGTTTGCGTCCAAACAAAAAGTTAAAGAAGATTCGCTGGAATTCGTCCGCACGCGTTCTCGCGAATTGAGAGGCAGCTTTTTAAATTGACGAGCGGGCAGGAAATTGAACGCGACGTAAAACCGGAAGAACGGCGCAACAAGCATGTTCCTACTTATTGCGGAAGGGTAATGCCCGATCGCTCATCCGACGTTAGTCGGATGACAGTTCTTTCAATCCACGCCGGAGTGTTTCGAAGCGTATAATTGCCGGCGTCGACGTCAGATATCATTTGACGTCAGTGTTTCATAACGATGATGTCAGCGTTTCGGAATGATGACGCCGAGATAGCGCCTCTCATTATTTGCGATTGGGAATGTGTTATCGGGAGGAGTGGGTGGGTGGG